AGGAAGTAGACCTGCCCGATAGCAATGGCGACTAGTAGGATGATAATGATGATAAGAGCCGCCTTCGCGCCTGGCTGAGCTTCGAGGTCATGGCCTGTGAGGCGAGAGATGGGGATCCACTGGTCAAAGGTATGGTTGTTCAGCGTCCCAAACCAGCATGCGCCAACCCAGAAGATCGCTTTGTCAATAGTTGCTTCGCAGTCCTCAAGCGTGCGTCTTACGCAGGTGAAGTACAAGACGGTTGCGACGAAAAGCGCGGGTAAGAGGCGCCCTACGACGACGGAGAATGTCTCTGGTGTGGTGAGGACGCCGAAGGCTGGTGGATCGGAAACGAGCCCGGCCTGAGCAAACATGCCAATGAACACGGAGAAGAAAAAGACGGAGGGCGAGGTGGTGAGGAGTGCCATGAGCACAGTGAAAATTACGGAGACAGTGAGTATATTCCATTGCTGGTCTTTCCCATTGCATCGGGATCCCGTGCCTTCCTGGAACTCGAAAGAGAGTGGGAAGGAAGAATTGAACGCCACGCTGGTGATTCCGTTGCCCTCAACCGCGTCGAAGCCAGTATGGTTTGCCACCCTGTTGAGCACACCACAACCACCGTGGGCATTCGGGATGACGCCTGCGTGTATGGCTGCTTGGCAGATGAAGGAGTCCCCACGATATATAGGACCCCCAACGACCAGCGGCTGGTAGTTGACTTCTTCCACACCCACAGCACGCGGGTTAAGGAGTTGCTGTTCCTTGCACCTCGGCGGGCAGCGGAAGGCCATGGAGCCAGTGAAAGGTTGACATTCGTCACCGTTCAGGCCGCATTCGTTCTTGTAGTACCACAGTGTCGATCCGCACGCTAATCGCTGGATTGGCATGTCGTAGTCTGGCGTTCTTCTGTCAGGAAGGGTCTTCCAGTTGGCATAAAGCCCGAAGAACAAGCCTGTCCAAACCAGGTAGAAGACGATCAGCCATATCACTTTGGCTTTCTTCTTGGGGGCAATGCGATCCCGTAGCTTTAAGGGAGCCTCGTGCAAGGCAGGAAACCAAGGCGTGATGTAGTACCGCACTGGTGTAATAGGCCCCTTGCACCATCTACCTACGCCCTTGCATACACGCCAAACGCCATGAGCAGGGCGGAGGCACCAATGTCGACGAGTCCTGTTGCTAAATGAACCGTCCTCTAGGCTCAGCCCATCAATATCAAACTCCTGCCGAGTAACAGTCACAGGATAAGGCAAGCCAGGTTCATCACTATATGGGTTGGACCCGGTTGCTGTCGACGTCTGAGCGGCAGTTTTGTTGCCGTCACCAGATGCTTTTGCCATCGTGGCGTGCTCGGTGCCGTCCCCTTCGTCCAGGCCGTCGTGATACTGGCCACGATGACCGTTGAAATCTGCGAGCTCTGTATAGGTGCCAGACACCAAGAGAAGGCAGGTTCAGCAGCCAGTCAGCCCTCTGTGAAGCAAAGTAAAGGTCCCGGTATGCCTGCTAGGGTAGACCTTTATCCACAGGCTCATAAACGCGTAAGAGCATCATTGCAAAGCCCAGGATTTCTCATATCCGTATTTTCGCGGTGCCCTTGTGCGGGGGAGGGTGTCCCAAACCTTTATCCTCACGGGGTAGAGTAACGTAGCTTGGGCCAGCCATATTTCGTGCGTTTACTTCGTACACTGGCCCTGCTGAGCTAAGGTCTAGATTTGCCAGCCAACAAGGTGCGGACCGATCCGCAATGTCCGGGGTAGCGCAACGGTGAAAAAACGCCCAGGCAGAAACACCAAAGATAGATATGAGATGCCTATTAGGTCAGTGCACTTGGTTCTGGGATTTGCGTACGATGAAGTTGAGATAATACCTGATAGAAGTGAAGTGCTTCGACTTTATCTCGGTGATGTTGATGGCCAGGTAGTTTTTTAACAAGACTTGCGTAACCAAGCGGGGTTTTTTTACGGTAGACTCGGCATTAAGCAAGCATTAACGTGTTTCGGCATGGCTGCACGTGAAAATAGGAGAAAAATAAAAAAGAAAAAGTTAAGTGACCAAGCCCGGACTCGAACCGAGGACCTTATCGGTGTTAACGATACGTGATAACCAACTACACCACTCGGCCTTCCTTATTTTTGCTTACCCAAAATAGTGCTCTATAAGGTAACTTGCGTAGGTTTGGGTTTTGACGTCATCTTTGCGTCATCAAACTTGACATTCACATCGCAAACCATCCTGGCATGCGAAGCGATGCTGTCTAAAGTGTAGCACGCTAGGCTCTTAGGTCTTGCATTACTTGAAAGATGATAGCGAAACGGCTTGACCCAACACGTCGCGGCATTTTTCTCGTGATACTATCCCAAATAAAAGAACATACCTTCCTTGCCTCCTGCCTAAATAGAAATCCCGCACGTTTCCATGGAAGGGGATGTAAATAATGACCACGATGCTACCTATCAAGCATCGCGCGCTTCGCCATTGAGCATATCCAAGATGCTTCGACGCGTGGTGATCACTATACCAAGACTGAACGAACTTAATATCATGAGGAGAGGGTCATGTCCTGCGCAGCATCATGACGGCCAATCCACCAACTTATGATATTGTCATTCTGAGGCCATGCCTTCCAGAGCCGGCTCTGAACACCCCGCGCCGCAAGTTCATACCTGTCTTTGAACGAGAAACCTGCCTGGAAATCGCCGTTATTTGCCCCTCGCACAGTCTGCCCGCGCCTGGGGCAAACACAATCATCAAGACAGAGAATTATCCATTCTTGGCCACAGAAAAAGGCGTCTTTCCTCTTGGCACTGCGCGAGTAGGTACGTGCACATGGGGTAAACGTTTGTTTCGAGGCAGACCGCTGAAGGTAGAGCATAGTTCACAAAGAATGTTACGACAACGACAGTTATCCTTTGTCGAAACACGTG